ACTTTATTTATGAGCACTGTATTTTGAATTTCCTATGATTGTTATTTGTCATGGCCTTATTTTCAACTACTTAAAAATGCAGAGAAACAGCTTTAGCTTACTGGCTATACAAAAACAGCTCAGATTTGGTTGGTGAGCAGCAGTTTTCTGACTGCTATTCTATGCAATGCAATTCAGTGAAAATTTCAGCTAAATGAAATGAGGTTCTCCAAATTAGAACCTTTGCAGCAGTTTCAGTCCACTGCTTAAATTTAGGAAATTATCTCAAATATTTAAATTTAGAATTTTAAATATCAAGTGTCTAAAAGAAATGGAAATCACATTGAAAAAAAAAAATGAGAGAGAACCTCCAACCATATGAGTGATTTGTTGTAATTAAGAAATGACAAGAACAATGATATTTTTTATCAAGTGTAGCAGGAATCAATACATGTGTGACTAAATTTAAAATTGTCTGCCTATATAAAGCCATGCTGTTAAATATGATAATTATCAAACTTATTCATGTAAATCTTTATTGGATTGATCTAAAGAATTCAGGAGTTCTTACTTCACCATTTTACCCTGCACATATTGAAAATTTATTACTTAATTTCCTTCCATACCAGAAGACAAGATAATCTTAGAATTTTATTGTAACTATCTTTCATAAACAAGAAAAAAATGGCATTGCAACATAATGAAACCTAAGTTAATTACATACTTTGTGTTATATGTTATGTGCAGTAGTGGGTTAGAATTATAAATACTTATAGCAAGCATTTTTATTTCATCTGTCAGGACAAATTTAACAAAAGTGACAATAATAATGTTATTTTGAACTTTAGAAAAGATGTGCATTAATTTTAAGAGTTCATTTGGACATTAGTATTGTGTATTATATTAACTAACATGAAAGATTTATTCTCAATAGGAATAAGGAAGTATAACATGAATTTCATGTTATATGATATTGATAAACCATTTAAGTAGAAAAGTGGAAAGGATTCCACATAGTTGGAGTATAGGAACAATTTGCTTACTGAGTTATAAATGGCAGTGGGGGATGTGGGGACAGTCCACTAACATCCTCTTGGGCAAATAAACGTTACATTGTAGGAGCTGAGACTGGTTCCCATAAAAATGCATTAAAATTTCAGTGCCTTCTTGGGACATGTTTGAATCTGCCCTGCAATATTTCAGAAGGTCATAAAAAGAAACTTCAAAATATGATATAGAAAGCAACATATAATCAAAATAAGTTCAGGGTTCCAGTCTTCAAAATAAAGATGAATAAGGACGAGGATCAAAACTGAAAATTATCTTTCAGCTTTTTCCAGGAGGAAATTGGTTTTATCATATTTGTACTTAAATTCATGTTTAATTTTAAGATAATTTTCAGTAGGGAGAGAATAAAATTTCTAGTAAGTGCTCAGGGTAAAATTTATCATTAAATAACTGTAGCTCATTTTTATCTACTTAATCTTTGTACAAAAGCGTTTAAGAGACCCCACACTGACAAATGCAGTTCAAATCCTGGCACTGGTGCCTTGAAGAAACTGCCTCTGACAGTTAAAGAGAGAGAGAGAGAGAGACTGTGAGCAAAAATATGACCTTAGGAGCTGGGAGATAGCATAGTGGTTAAAGTGCTGGACTCGCACAGTTCAAGTCCTGTACCTGTTGGCCAGAAACTCCTAATGTGTGTGTGTGTGTGTGTGTGTGTGTGTGTGCATGTGTGTCCAAAGCTCCAAGAGGAAAATGGAAGAGAAGGGATTGCAGCATGGCCATCTGCCCTGGGGGGTGATTTCTTGCTTTATGTCTCTGTCTTTCTAGCAAGTGCAGGCATACTGTAACAAAAATCTTTAAAGAAAAATAAACATGGCCATATATATCTATGTGTGTGCCTATAAATAATATACATATAGCCATACATATATTACACATACATATATAAATATATGTGTATGTATAGAAAATCTATATATTATATACATATATGTTTTTTGGAATGGACAGAAACATGGCAATATACAAACTTCTCTTAGGCATATGTAGAATGCTCTTCTTTTAAGTGAAATTTCTACAATTAAAATTTTGCATCATTTTTTAACTTGTCTTTAAAATAGATAATTACAAGATAAATTAAGTAAATGTGTGTAGAAAAGATTTAACTTTATATTCCACTTTGAAATTTGATTTTTGTTTCTTATATTTTGGGGGGAGGGATTTATTTGTTTATTTATTTTACATTCATACATTGTACATCATCACAGAATACAAATGTGATTTCTCATCCAGAATACACTGTATAGTGGCTTAATCATACATGTTATCATCAACAAATAGTTTTCCATTTCTTGTTTCATATATACAAATATATATATATATATTTTTTTTTCTCCCTATTTCTCACCCTCTGCCATTTCCCACCCTCCTCTCACACTGTGTCTGGTATCTACAGTTGCTTTCCATTTCTTTTTTTCTCCACAATTTATTGATTCACAAAATATCTTAATTAATCAAACTACTTTCAATAGCAAGTTCAGCTGATATATACATATCTTTGAACATGTTTGACTTTAAGCATGAAACTCTATGAGTATAGTGACTGTACTACAAAGTAGCACCTAGCTGAGGCTATATAGCTTACTGTGGTCATTAAACAGTTTTTTTTTTTTTTTTTACATTTTTTTTTAATCAAGAAAGGCAGTTTTAGTTTCAATAAACCAAAATCAAAAAATGTTAAGAGAACTTTGCTTTATACTTAAAGCCAGGAAACAGGTTAGGATTCTGTTTGCATAGTAGGTACATGGACCAATCCACAGCTCAAGAGAAGACAAAACTCCTTAACACTGGAAAACAAAGCATAGAAGATCAGTAATGTTTTAGTCAAAAGTCATACAATTCTATTTCACTAGTTCAAACTCATGTGCTTTATCTTCTGTTATGGTTTGATCTTTCCATTTAAATCTGGAAGATAATGTTCAACTCTAGACTTGTCCTTACCATTAAGCTGGCTATTTTCTTAGTTATTTGAGAACTTTTATTTTTGTGTGTCTGACTTTAGTTTTCCTGGGATAGGACTCCCTTCAGAACTTCTGGGAGAGCTGATCTGGTGTTGGTAAATTCTTTCCGGTTTTGTTTGAAAATGTTCTTGACTTCTCTTCCCATATGAAGGATAATCTTGCTGGATATAGTATTCTTGGTCGAAATTGTTCTTCACTCAACACTTTGAATATATTTTCCCATTCTTTCCTTGCTCGCATTGTTTCCGATGATAGGTCTGCTGTTAGCCTAATGCGATGTCCTTTGTAGGTAACTTGATGTTTCTCTCTTACCACTCTGAGTATCTTGACTTTGTCTGTGGTTTTGGTCATTCTGTCCATAATGTGTCTTGGAGAAGATCTTCTTGAGTTGATCCTATTTGGGGTCCTTTGTATTCCTGGGTCTGAATCTTTGAATGCCTCTCTGGGTTTGGGAAATTTTCTTCCAGGATTTCATGGAATAGATTGTCAATGCCCTTATTAATCTCTTCACCTTCTGGAATACGATTTTTCAGATGTCTGGATGTTTAATGGAATCTAGTATTTTTTTAAATATTATTCTCATTTTTGGGGGGGAGCTATTTTCTCAGTCTTCGTGGTGGATTTTACTAGTCCAGAAATTCTGTTTTCTATATCTGAGATTCGATTTTCTGTATAATCTAGTCTGCTTTTAATACTTTCAAAGGAGGTTTTGACTTCCTGTAGTATAGCCTTCATCTTTTGATTCTTTTTTTATGGCGTATATTTCCTCTTTCTGCTCTCGCAAGAACTTCGCATCTCCTGGAACTCATCAAATTTTTTCTTCTGGTCTTCACTGTCTTTTTTCTCTTCCATCCATGTGAGCTGTGTCACTATGTATAATCTAAATTCTTTATCAGATATTTCCATGAGTTACATTGTACTGTCTGTGGATGAAGAAGAATTATTCTTTTCCCTTGGGAGAGGTATTTTCTTTGTTTTGCATATTTCTCATGCCCTTGAAGCGATGTCTAGTCATCTGATGGGTTGACTCATTTCTTCCTAATTTCTAGATCAGTCTGAGTGATCAGAGGTGCACAGAAGGATGTGGTCTGCAAACTCTTTGGCATTGCATTTTTCTCCCTTTGTGACACAGATTCAGTGGGAGTTGAGAAATATGAGGACCTAAATAGTATTCGGATTTTGGCAACTTTTTACTTAGACCTGTCTAGACACTTAGGGCTTGGAAACTGAGCAGCAAAGCGATGATGTAAAAGAAAAAGGATAAGAAATCAGAGAAAGAGAGAAATAAAAAAGAGAAAAAAGAAAAAAGCAAACAAAAAATATTTCTTTGTTAATTTTTAAAAACAAAAAATAAAAACCTTATTTTTTAAAAAAAAGAAAAATTAAACATAGTTAAAAGACAGAGACAGAGAGAAAAAGAGAGAAAAGAACAGAGGGGCTCTACCAGGGTGACTTCTCAGCAGAACATCTTCATTACTTTTATCCCTGAAATCACTAGACCTCAGCTTTCATGGCGAATTCCTGTTTCTTATATTAATAGTTCCAACTAACTTCACTTAAGATATCTCTATGACCGAAAAGAACATCTGAAAAAGTAATTAAGGCACATGAACATAATTACTTCTAACTCATTATCACCATTGCTCTGTTTTATTATATTTGCATCATTTGTGTAATAGCACTCTCTGAATTGTTTCTTTTCAATATTTATTCTAAATTTGTGAAGAGTCATGCTATCAAAACATGGTAGTTATTGGCATGAATCTCTTACCAAGTAGACTCCCAGATTGAAATGTACAGTGAGACTAGAAATATTTGCCTCATCAAAATAATCATCTAAAAATATAAATTTGACAAATACTGTTGTCAAGCATTCTAAAAAATATTCTTCTTTTTTCCTTTTCTTCTTCTTCCTCTTTCATTTCCACTCACATTTTCTTCCTCTTCTTGCTTTTATTTACTATGAAAGCTAAATGAAAGAAAAAGACTTTTTGTAATATTCCTTCTTAAATGTATCAAAACTCATACTGAATGATGAGTTTGGGTTGCAAAATATGATTTATATTGTGCACCTGTCTGTAAGCATCTGTGGGAAATAAACAAACAAACAAAAAAACAAAACAAAAAACAAAACACTTAAAAAAACTTTTGTTGTTGGGGCCAGCAGGTGATGTGGTGGTTACGGGCACTTGACTCTCACATGGCTGATCACAGTTCGAATTACAGACATAGCAACTTGCTTTCTAGCTTTCTCTCTCTCTCTCTGTCTCTTTCTGCCCCTCTCTGGACAAATTAAAATAAATAAAAAAAAAGTTACATAAAATAATTCTTTAAAAAATACTTTTGTTGGGGACCAGCAGATGGTGTAATGGTTGTGTCACTGTACTCCCACATAGCTGTAGTTTGAGTCCTGGACCCAGCATCTTAAACTCATGCCAGTTGCATGTACATGTGTGCCCAAAATCCCAAGAGCAGAATGGAGGAGAAGGGATTGTGGCATGGCTATCCCCCTGAGGGGTGATTTCTCATTTCTTTCTGTCTGTCTCTGTCTCTCTAACAAACACAAAAATCTATCTCTCTCAAAAAAAAAATAAAAATAGTAATAACAAAGCATATTCATTGGTTCCAACTCAGATATACTGAATCAAAATATACATGCATGAATTAAAAATCTATATTTAACAATACACTTCTCTGGCTATTATGACAATTAGGAAAGTTGGGAACCACTGGCACAACAAAGCTATAAACAAAGTGGTGCCAGGTCCAGTGGGTAGCGTAGTGGTTAAGGTGCTGGACTCCCACATGGTCAATCATGGTTTGAATCCTGGACCCGGTGGCTTGAAAATCATGGTAGGCATGTGTTCATGTGTGACCAAAATCCCAGGAGAATAGAAAAGGGATTGTGGTGTGACCATACCCATGGTGGGTGATTTCTCACATTCCCTTTCTATTTCTGGTGAGTGCAGGTGCCCTATGAGAAAAACCTTAAAAAAAAAAAAAAAAGTACTGCTGACTCACATAGATTAGATTGATTGCTTGGACCTAAGAGAAGGAGTGAAGGTGGGGGAAGCTCTAAAGAAAAATGGTCCTTTAAAGGGGACTGGAAACATACAATGGGACTCAAAAGGTAGATGTAAGCACTATGATAATGCTGGAGTTGAGCAGTCAAGTACCAAGCACTGTGCAGAGCTATGAAAATTTTACATATTTAAGCCTCACCCAAAATATGGAGACAAGTACTATTATTATCTACTATTATTATCTATAATGCTAGTATTAAATATTTAGACTATGGATATAAGTGTTATTGTTATCTATAATATTGTTACCTTTAGTAAGTGCAATTATTATCCCTATCTATGAGAGGCTCAATAACTTGATCTAGGTCACAGAGCTTATTGCTGGTAGCAACATCTCAGCCATGGCTGTTTTGACTCAGCAGCATACTGGTTTGCTAGTAGGAGCTCCAGACCTTAGGAGCAAGTTAAGATTCCTTTCACTTGTCTGTCCAACAATTGATCAAGTGAAGGGATAAGGACAAAAAGCCAGTCCTGGGTACTGGATGTGGCAGGAGGAAATTTTAAATTTTTTATTCTTGCCTCTTGTCGGCCTTGGCCCCACTCTTATCCCCTAGGAGCTATTTTTTCATGCTGATTTGTCTTTTATTTCTTTTGAAGTAGCACATGACCGATAAAGTGTACCCCATGGTTTTGACCATGTGAGTAGTCTCCCCCTACCTTGTCAAGTCTTCCCTACTGGCTCAAGATTGCTCTAAAAAAGCAGATGAGACCAGAGTAGGTTCCACACCAAAAGGCATGTAGAGAAATCAGTAATTTCTGCTAATACAAATGGTCTTCATGTAGAGTAGTCATACTCTTGGTAGCAAGTGAAAACTCTTTATTGGGTGACTGGGCACGGAAAGATGTGAGGATGTCCCTTTCCAGATCCCCAACTTCCAGGTGCTATGTTTTCTAATAGAGAGCCTGGGGTAGGTAGAATCATCATGTTGCTCCTACTTTCTGCCTCCACTTTCTTCGATTTGGCAAAATAATGTTATACCTTTCTTCCAACTGGAAATGTTTTGAATGATAAAGGAAAATTATACTGATGCCAGAAAAGCCTCCTTTAATATGAGCACCATAAAACTGCCCTTATCTATCTCATTTAAGGGTACCCTTTCCATTAATACTGAATTGTTATATTTAATAATAATTTCTCAAAATGTGTAATATATTTATGTTGATTTGAATAATTGTGAAGAAGTATCAAAGAGTGGTTAAGCATAATTTCCTGAGATAGCCTGCCTGGGTTTAAATCCTAGTTCTATCATTAACAAGCCAAGGAGAAAGACCTGGAACATATTCTTCCTCCATTGCTCTCAGAGCTTTCAGAAGGAACCAATAGTGCCAACTCCCTAATCTTGGACATCTAGCATCCAGAACCATGAAATAATAAATTTCTAATTATTTAAACGACCCAGTTGCGGTATTTTGTTAGAGCAGCCCTTAGCTAACTAATACTTAGGTTCTCCAGCAAAAAAACATTAAGATGATTATGCCTACAATCTAAGCATAAAGGCTCTTTCTGATTAATGGAGTAATAAACAGAGGAGAAACATGTGTGAGAAAGCCTTATAGTAATAAGAAGGGAACACTTGCTTTGAATGTCTCCCTCTCCATGTATCCCTGGGACATCTATGACCAAAAGACCTTCATTAGGACTAAAAATTGGCACAAAAATTCTGCTTAGTCTTAAGACTTTCCATTTGTATTTAAAGCTAAAAATAGAATGATGAAAAGATAATAGCCTTAGATAATTGCAAGTATATAAAAAAGTTAAGTATATCTGTTTAAGAACAAGAAGTCAGTCAAAATTAGCTACTTTATTGATTCTAGCAACAATACAGAGATCCTTACCAAAATAATTTTTTTTTTTTAATGATTGGTTTTCTAGAGTTAGATTTTCTTATTTGGAGAGAGATTTTTCTTTTCCAATAATAAAGCTTGATTAGTGTTTTTGTGTGTGGGGAGAGTCAGGAGGATTTTTTTCTTGAGGAAAGGACCCTAATTTAATGCTGTTTTCTACTCCCTTTGTTCATTTATTTTTGATGTTCAAAACTAATTTCTTCCTCAACAGGCAATCTTCAGTTGGAAATGTCCCTGTTGACCTCTGTCTTCGGTTTTGTATTAAAATGTTTGTGTGCCATTTTTTAAGTTCACAAGTCTAATTTTCTCCCCAGAGGGTGTTCACAGTTTCTTCAAAGACTTCAGTGCTTATCTGTGTTTTGACGTTTTCTTTAACATCTCACACATTTTGCCTGGAAGGTCTCCCCTGGTCAGCTCAATGAGGAAAAGGAGACCCTGAATAAGGTTGCTCAGAACTGACTGTTGTTAATTAGGGAGGTTAGAACACAGTGCATTTCAGTCTGCTGTTTTCATTTCCGATAGTTTACCCAATATCTAAATTGGAAGCAGCAGGTGTCTGATCTGAAAATAAATATTTTTCCTCTTTTTAACCTAGAGATGATCGCATTAAAAATACAATTTATTTTTTTTAAAGAGATTCTAAAATGTTATTGGCTAATAAGATTCTGCTGAATGAAATCACAGAAGCACAGATCTTTATTACTTGGAGACTTAATTTTCCAGATTTGTAATCCTAGAACAAATTTGACCTATTTTACATAGGTCAGACTAGAGTAGTACTCCTTTTAATCTATGGATGATTAAAAAGCTGAATTAAACAAACAAACCATGGTTGGTATGGGTCGAGAGAATGCTCCAATACTCTACATATGTGAGAAGTCAACACCCCCCACCATGAACCCTCGCTGCAAGGCAAACCCTCTGCACTGCGATTTCTCAGGAGCAGTCTTCCCGTACTTGCTACTCTTATTTGTATAGGTCACCATGTGATCCCATATCCCACAGACTCTATTCTCTGTAGAGCTCTGTACAATCCCTGTCTTATCTTTGAAATACTTTCACTGTGCCTTTAGAAGTCAGTCATTCCCTGTATCTTTTTCTTCTGTGAAATTATTTTCACCTTCTTGCTTTGTTCCTTTAAATCCTCCTACCCCTTCTCTGAGGACACTGCTTTTCTCACATCACGCTTAAGTAGTGGATGTTCTTCTCAGCCTCTCTTGTACTTTTGGACTTGGAAGTGGGAAAGTTTTCCTTTGTTCCTCTTCACAACTGCCCTCATTTAGCTCTAAATATCGTTTGTGTAATATTCATGTCAGCAAATGTTTTTACTCTCCTGCCTTGCTACACATCACCTACTTACCCTCATCTGTCTTGCCCCCATTTACTTATTTGTTTTCATTTTGTAAAGATTTTGACCGATGATGCAGCTTTATCCTATCACTACCCATGTCATCATTTTTGGAGATTATAAAATCTATGTAGATGTTTCTTCCAATGCCCTAACCTCTCCTTCCTCTATTTTTTCTGCTTCTGTAATCCTATCTTTAGCCGATTACTTTCATGTCATATTCTGGAGCTTGTCATTAACAATAAATGCACCCCCTTCATAAATCCTATTGTCAAGTATCCCATTTATGACCACTCGGTACTTTACAATCATTACCCTCTCGTAGTCCTGAGCCACTAATCCTGTGACCCAGTAAACACAATTCACTGATCTTATTGCCTTTTGTATATCTCTTTTCTATTTATTCAGCATAAATTCCATGAGTTAGAATTATAATTACCTCCTTTCTTCATCCTCTTCTATTGACCAAAATACAACTTTAATTAAAATTGAATTTTCTTTATTCCAGGCATATATCCATACAAATGAACATAACTGAGAAACAAACAAACAAAAACAAACAGATAAACAAAGCAAACACAGATACGTGCTGGTTGTTCTTGCTTTAGATTAATAGTCAGTGTGAGGCCTGGTAATCATACTGTATTTCTCTAATCCAATTAATATCTCATTCTTCCACAAGATGATTTATTATTTTCTTCTCTTGCACGAATCTCCCAAACCACTACACCATCCTGTAGGAGCTTCAGCTCTATATTATGGAAAAAGGAAAAAAATAGCCAAAAAACAGAAATTCAGAAGCAAGTTTCACTCATTCTCACATATACGCATGCATGTCCACA